TTCTTCTTCTTCTTCTTCTTCTTCTTCTTCTTCTTCTTCTTCTTCTTTTTCTTCTTCCTCTTCTTCTTCTTCTTCTTTCTTCTGTTTTTGGTTTTTTGTTTGTTTGTTTGTTTTTCAAGACAATGATTCTTTGTGTAATAGACCTGGTTGTCCTGGAACTCACTTTGTAGAGTAGGCTGGCCTTGAACTCACTGAGATCCGCCTGCCTCTGCCTCTCAAGTGCTGGTATTAAAGGTGTGTGCCACCACCGCCCGACTTCCAGTTCTTATGGTTATCTGACCAGGTACTTTCTCCTTAACCTTGTAAAGCATCACTTTTACCCAGGCACACATTTGTGGTCAGAGGTTGAGCCTCTCTAGAAGTCTCAAAACTGGTGTCTCTAGGCCTCTGGCTAGCTCTAAAGTCACCCCTTCAGCAAGTCATGCTTCAAGCACCTTCTCTATAGATAACCTGCCCTCTTTCCACTGTGTCAAGCTTCTGGCCAATTCCTTTCATGCCTTGTATTGGCACCAGATAGCAAGCAAGCTGTGTGTGCTTAAGGCGAGATTAAGGAACCTGACTGTGGTCTCTAAGCATTGTGGAGGCAGAGATCTCAGAAGTGATTACCACCATGTCCTGGCTCCTAGTGGGCGTTGAAGAACCTATTTATCGAACGAGTGAGTGAGTGAGTATCAGCATCCTGATCTAGTAGTCTTCCCTTTCCTCCCTTCTTGTCCTCTTTTTTTTCTTCTGTCTCTTCTGGAAATCAAACCCAGGGCCTTCTAGACACTAGGCAAGTGCTCTCCTGCTGAGCTACTTTCTGCCTTTGGTCCCCTGAGACAAGGTCTTGCTGCATAGCCTAGGCTAGTCTCAAGCTCATACTTCTGCCTCCCAAGTCTGGGATTGAGGGCATGTTCCTAGGTTGGACCCACCTTACATTTTTAAATTCACGCTCCCCCCCCTCCGTTACTAGTGCTCTGTCAATGAACACTCCTTGAGCACCAAGAGCTAGGCAGCTTGACGGTGGCTGGAGTGACCATGGCCTAGAGCTGTCCCTTTGTTTCCACCTCTGAGGAACTCCTTCAAAGAGTGAAATCGTGTAATCCACTTTGAGAACTCCTCTGCAACCCATGGCCGGGTGCACACTAGGCAATCACTCTACCGCAGAGCTTTAGTCTCAGCTTTAAAATCCCCACTTAGAAAAATTGCCAGTAGTGGTAGCACACACCTATAATCCCAGCATCTGAGCTGTAAAAGCAGATGAAAGTATGTACTTGAGTTCTGTGCCAGCCTAGTCTACGTATAAAGTTCCAGGACAGCCAACGCTACGTTGAGAGCTTGTCTCAAAATAAATGCAACAAAACGGATTTGTTTATTTTTAATTTTATGGGCATAGATGGTGTTTTTCATGCCTGATGACCTAGGAAGCAGAAGAGGGTGTCATATCCCCTGCGACTGTAGTTAAACGTGATTGTGAGCTGCTGTGTGGGGGCTGGGTCCTCTCCAAGAGCACCAAATGTTCTTAACTGCCGAGCCATCTCCCAGTTCCCCCAAATCCTCGTTTTTAATGGATGATTCAATCACTCCTCACTTTCAGCCCCTCTGCCTTCTGTCTGTCTGTCCGTTGTCACTGCTCCTATGATGACCTGGGTTACAATTGTTTTCTGTTCCTCAGTCTGCTTTTGTCACCGAAACCAAAAGTTGGTTTCCACTCACCAATCCAAGCCATCTTTTAGATCATTAATTCAGTCAGAGGTTCCCCTACCTAAGCAGTTTCCATGGATCCTCATTGCCATCCAGACTGTGGTAGCACCCTAGAGAGATCTGGCCCAAGACAGCCTCTCTTCTTTACCGTCCTCTGAACGGCATTTGTTCTACTTCAGCTTTAACTATACCAGCTTGCCTGAAGTTCTTACTCTCTGGCTCGGACGTTTCCCCTAACCTGTCTTCTGTCTGGTCCGCTGTATCACCCACCACATCCTCTTGGGAAACAAATCAAATGCCCCCCTAACCATGCGCTCAGGTTTCCCAGTTATTCTGTCTGAGCATCTGTCCCTGTGTATTGTTCTTGTCTATAGACAGACCTGTGACCAGGAGCAGATGGGACTGCAGTGATGAGATGGCACACCTCTGAGTTTACCGGGCCCTTTCCCCTTTCCAAGAGGCATCGAAGAAAGGGGAACATCTGAGGGCCATGGACTGCTAGAGAACGTTCAGGCCTCTCCCCAGCCGTGAGCAAGCAGAAACTCACTTCCCAGGAGATTCCCTGAAGCTAAGAGAAAGGCAAACAACTTTCCAGGTCATGTGGTTAGGAAGGGCTAGGTCTGAGTTCCAGATTGGCTCCCTGAGTCACAGCCAGTTTTGCTCTATTGATTCGGGCATCACTCCCTGGCTTTGAAGCTGAAGGAAGCACGGACATTTCTTCTTTTTTTAAAATTCTATTTATATTTTATGTATATGAGTGCTCTGCATGTATCCCTGCATGCAGGCATCAGATCCTATTACAGATGGCTGTGAGCCGCCATGTGTGGGTGCTGGGAATTGAACTCGGGACCTCCGGAAGAGCAGCCAGTGCTCTTAACTAAGCCATCTCTCCAGCTCCAGCATGGGCACTTCTAACCTGGAAGAGCTCACGTTCTTAGAGGGGTAGACTCAGGCCTGAGACAAATCCCTTTAGCAGAGTCAGAGGATGGTCAGGGCCCTAGTGCATGGTGCTGCCTGCTCCACTTTGGGGAACTCTGCATTCAAATTCAAAAAAGAAAAAAATCAAGAAAAACAGAAGCGTCCCTTATTTTTCCCCACAGGCCCCCACAGGTTACAACTCTGAGCACAACTTCCCCTTGCTTTCTGGGAAAAGATAAAATAAAAATCTCTCCACTACCGTGTTTTGGCGATGTCATTCATTGGCCAGATATTTACCAAACTTTTAGAAAATATCCAAGAATGTAACTACCCGCCCACCTTGCAGGGACCAAAGTTAGGTCACCTCCATCCTTGTCCCTGGGGGCTCACGATCAGAGCAGGTTTTGTTCTGATCTCTTGAGTTTTTGCACCTCTTGTGTCACCAAAACCAAGAACGTGTATGTGTGTGTGTGTGTGTGTGTGTGTGTGTGTGTGTGTGTGAGCTGGTAAGTGGAAGTTGCTAGGAAAGGGCCCTTAGGGTGACATGTTGGAGATTCTTGGCAGGTGGAGAGCAGGTCTTTGAGGCTTATGTGATGTAGGATGGCAGGCAGGCTCAAGGCAAGAAAAGAGATGCAATCGTTTTTGCTAGAAGAGAACAAAAGCCCAACATGACTGGAGAACTATGCATGCATGCATGCATTGATGAAGGAAGTAATCTTGGGGAGCCTTAGGCACTGAGTGAAGGGCAAGACTTTATCCTTAGAGTAATGGTGGCCTTGGCTTTATGCTGGGGGATTTTTGAGTCATATCATAGCTGTGCTTAGCAAGTCACCCAGGCAGTAGGATGTGGGTCACAAGGACTTTGGTACAATTTCTAGGTGAGTTGATAATGGCATGGGCCTAGCTGAAGGAAACAGAGAAGGAGGAGAATAAGAGAAATTAAAGGAATCTTTGGAAGAATGTAGAGGTTGGTGCTTCAAGAACTCTGGAGAGAGGGAGAGAGGATGATGCAAGAGCCCTGGTGTTTCCTTAATGAGGTGGGGAGGCCTAGAGAATTGAGGTAGGGGGACTGGGACATGGTTAACTTAGGCAGGCAGCATCTGAAGGGACGTTCCCATAAGGCAGCTGGACACATGGGTAGAGAAAAGAGGGATCGAGGCTTGTCTCCCCATCCTTGTCAACCCTCTTTGAAAAATTTACCCCAAAGAAATAGTTGTTGAAGAAGGAAAAGCTCTGTCTGAAAATATTGATTACTCATTTGTTTATTCAAAGGTAAAGAGATGACATAGAGCTTCAGAGACGGGATGCTGAAAGACCTTGTGAATGCCTATAGCACGCTGTGGCCAGCAGGAAGGGAAGGTCCGAGTAGGGTCAGAGCTGGCTGGCACGTGAGAATGTTAGATTTTTGAATATGTTGAGAGTTCCTGGTCCCTCAACACAACAAGCACAATGGGTGGAGAAAGCTCCAGAACGACCCTTATCTGCACCCGTTGCCCACAAGAGCTGTCAGCGCCTTCCCCTGCCGGTAGACTGTCTCGACCCAGAGTTGTAATTTCTCTCGGCTTTGTATTTACTTATATCGTGAAAGATTTTGGTAAACTTGGCACTGTTTTGGAAAGCGAACATGGCCATTACTTATTTGGACAGCTCCAGGCTGGCTTCTGCGCTTGGAGGTGTAAGTTTATAGGCTGGGCAAGCAGACTGACTTCCCTGGGGACTCGCCCAATACACCCAGCTGTGTCTCTGTTGTGGTCCTTGTTGGTCCAGTTTCAAGCCTCCAGGGGGAGCAGTGAGAGGGAGGCCTGCTGGTTTGGTAAGAGTAAGGCGTGGGGTGGCTGTGTCTCTCTGGAGTTGGGCTGGGCGTCCTTCCTTCCTTCCTGACTCCTTTCTCCTAAGGGACAAGTGGGAGGAATGTCCTTGCCTCTCCCAGGTCATGGGATGAGCTGTTCCCTTAGGATCCTTTTAGGCCAGGCCTCTTAGAAAAGGGCTGTGGAGTTAATGGCTCGCAGTTGTTTCTGTGTGTATCCTACTCCTGACACAGGTGTAGTAGGGAGGCCTGGTGGAGACGGTAAGTGTCCTGGACACCAGGCATCTGGTAATCCCTTCCTGTTCTGGACTATGACTGGCCAATGAGGCTTCCCAAAGTGACCCCTGCCCTGTCAGCTCCAAGCCCCAATACAGAGTGGGCCTTTGGTGCCACCGTGTGGGAAGTGTCCTCAGTGCAGTTACAAACTTGGCCCACGCCAGGGGTGCCCCATCAACTGAGCAGTCTCATTGAATAAGGACTGGGGTGTGCCGTGTATAACATACTTAGTTGGTGTGTCTGCCCTTCTTACACCCAAACTCGGTCTCAGTTCAGGCACCCTGGACCTCCACCACCACGAAGGTCTCCACAGCTGCTTCTTCAGGGAAATATCAAATGGCGGATTACGCTGGTGCAGCGGGAGGACCCGAAGAACCCGGGGGGACCCAGGATAAAAATTAAAACAAACAAACAAACAAAAAAACTCCTCCACAGCCCAAAGCCTCTTCAGGAGGGACATACATTCTCTGCCCCTTCTCTTCCTAGTCCTCACTCCTACCGGGCTCCATCTTTTCCTCTTTAGAAGACTCTTCTGATTTCTGTAACTGCTACTCTAGGATTTCTAGTTGCTTCTCTCGGTGAGCTCTCTTTCTGGTTCTTGGGAGCTGGTTCCCCTTCCCTCTTCCTTGGTATCCCAACGATTTCCAGGGCCTAGCTTCTGAATCCACAGTAGCACCTCGTGGTTTAGCCTTCTCTCTCTCAGTCCTTACATTTAGGATAACCCTTTCACACCCCAAACTCAATGCGTAAAGTTGTTGATCTCAACTCCTCACAACTGTACTCTCCTGACTATCCCGCTGGCACCCCATTATCCTCAACTTGTGCCACACTTCCGCCTGGCCCTAGTGTCCTTCGTTCTCCTGAGTTAGTCTAGTCTTCAGGGGTGGACTGCCTCTATAGGTTGGACCCTGCCCATCTTCGCTTTCTTACTGGTCCCTCATCTCTGGCCAGTTCCTCCCTGGGAGGACCTAAGTCCTGCCAAACTGAACTTCATGCTCTCTGAATGCATCCCCTTCTCTCCTCTCTCTCTCTGTCTTGGCACAGGGTGGTCTGTGCACTTGAATGCCTTTTTTGCCTTCTTTTGCCTGACTCACACCTGTCTGCCTGTTAGGTCCCGGCTGTGACATCAGTGCCTTTTCGATCATTCGTATGGACTCCAGGCTTGGTCAGGAATCTTTTTCTTTGCCCTCAAAATGTCCTACTTCATTCCCTCTATCACTACCTGATCTACCTAGAGTACCCTACTCCAGGGCCACATATAGGCTGAATCACCTGATTGCCCTATTTTTTATGACCAAAAGACCCAGGTATATATAAAATTGAGTTCTAGGGAGAGGAAGGCCGTGATTGCTGGTCATCACAGTAAGCCAGTGGCCAAGCTGATCTGGGACCCAAGACTTACCTTCCTCTCCTGGGCTTCTTTGCTCTCCAAGATACCATTGTCAACTGAGTTAGGATCCTTGAAGGCCTGATAAGATTCGACAAGAAGAGAATCTTTCTAGGTGCTCTTGTCCTTAGGAGACAGCAGCCATTAGGAGGCTGTCCCAGGATGCCATGAGAGCTAGTATACAGTGACCACAGGTCAACACATCTGATAATATCCTACTGAGACTCCCTTTTCCTTCAGGGCTATGAAGTAGGAGTGCCTGAATTCCTAAAGGATGCTGGTGGCAGCAGTTATGGTCCCCAGGTTAATTATTTCTAATGTCATACAGAAGAGAATGTGCTGAGTGGGACCTCCCCCACTCAACCTTGACCTTAAAGGGCACGGATCTCCCCAGACCTGTTCTACCCACTACCAGACTGAAGTTTAAGGTCATTTCAATATCCCTCAGGCCTCTGAACCACCACTGTGCTCCAGTACCGTGAGAGCTCTCCTCTGAGAATTCGGGGTCCTACCTTGGGTCTTTGACACTGCTGTGTCCTCTGCCTGCCCCATGGGTGGACCCGATTCCCTTGCTCAGAGAGCTCGGTAAACAGAAACACATTGTTCTGGAAGTGAACACAAAGTGCCAAAGAGGATGCCTCCTAGCACTTAGGAAGTGCCCCTTCTACCTTAATAAATTTACAACGCAAACAACCCACAAATAGAATACCAAGGATCCACCCAGTTTTTTCTTGTACCTCTACTCCTCAAACTTCTTTCCTTGAAGTTCTTTAGAACAGCTACCCACATTTCCACCATCGCCCCCCTCCAACCTTCCTCCTTGTCACTCCGTACAAGTGTACTGACATGCACAGTGCATACCTGCTGGGTTGCGAGCGGCTAGAAGCCTGGGACACTGAGGTATTTTCTCACACTTACCTTGCCTGGATGGTACCATCTTGGTCACTTGCTCCAGATTGCCTAGATGTACAAAGTCCCTCTTTCCTGAACTGCCAGGATTCACTCGCCTTCCCTGGTCTTTCTGGCTGGTGTTTTTCCTCTGAGTTTCCAGCACCGAACAGTAGCTTAACAGCTTCACGCTAAAATGGAAAACTTTCCCAGAGATCCCTTCTTGCTTGCTTCCTGGAATCTGCTTTCCATCTCCCCTGGCCTGCAAAGCCCGTGACTCATTTACGCAGCAGCCAGCAGTGCCTTCTCCGCCGGGATTTCTCACAGGAAACCTGAGAGCCGCTCAAGCGCGGCCGTTTTCACGCTGCCTACTCTCGGCCCTGGCTTTTCTTATCTAAAACCCTGATTTGTTCTATCAGGAGAGGCAGTGGAGTTGTTACTTTTTCTCTAGATTCGGGCACCCACATTAAAACAGGGCTTTGTATCCCAGAGGCCCAGGGTGGAGCTTTTGCAGGACCTTTCAAAGTCCAGCAATCAAAACTCATCTTTGTTGTTGTTTCTGCACAATGACAGTCTTTGGATCGCCCTAGAAATTGAGAAAACTATAGGATCCATACCCCGCGCGTGCATATACACACTCTCACTTTCTCACACATACACACAGACTTTGAGAGAATCATAGACTATTTCTATCACAGCCGGGTGAGGAGTAGGGTGGGATTTTGACAGAGCTGACAGATGGGGTTCCCATCTGAATGGAATGTGCACCATCTCTGCAAGTGTTTGCAAGGCTGGGGGAGTGTTTTGTTGAATTCCTGAGGGTTGTCAAACGCCGGGTAGAATTTTAAAAATGCTTTGTTGTTGCTGTTTTGCTGTATTGTTGACAGGGTCTTGCTATGTAGACCAGGCTGTCCTGGAACTCACTATATTGCCCAGGATGGTCTCAAATTCTTGGCAATCTTTCTATTTCAGCCTCACAAGTTCTGGGATTTCAGGTGTGTGCTCCCTACTCAACTAAACATATGTTTTACAAATATATTGGTGAAAGAAGGCAGAGTAATGAACGTGGGTAATGATTTTTATTTATTTATAAGACAGGGTTTCTCTGTGTAACAGCCCTGTCTGTCCTGGAACTCACAGAGAACCGCCTGCCTCTGCCTGCCTCGTTCTAGGATTGAAGGTGTGTGCTACCACCAGCCGGCTTAGAGTTCACTCTGTCTTCATCATTAGTAACAATTACCATCAGTTTCTTCTAGTACTAGGAACCGAACTCAGGACTCTGGGTATACTAGTGCTCTAACACTGAATTAGATCTCCAGCCCTATTTTTATTTTGAGACAAGTTTTTACTCGGTCTGTCAAATAGGCCTTGACTTTTTTTTTTTTTTTTTTTTGACAAGGTTTTTCTGTGTAGCCCTAGCTGTCCTGGAACTCACATTGTAGACCAGGGCAGCATCAAACTCAGAGATCCACCTGCCTCCTCTGTCTCCCAAGTGTTGAGATTAAAGGTGTATGACGTCAGGACCAGCAGGCCTTGAATTTTTAATCCTTCTGTTTTAGCCCCCAAGTAGCTGGGATTAGGTGTGCATGTCACCACATTTGGCAATACTTTTAAAAATGTTCCAGTCAGCCCTAGCATTCCTCAGCCACCTGCCTCATTTACCCACATGAGTCAAGTCAGGCTGGGGAGGCCAAAGCAAAAAAATTGCTGTGAACTTGAGGCCAGCCTGAGCTACATAGTGAGTGCTAGGCTAGCCATAGCTCTACAGCAAAACCTGTCTCAAACAAAAGTCCTCAATGACAACAAAGTTGTCAGAATAATTTATGCCAATCCCTAATAAAATGGAGTAAAACTCTCATGTACACATGTGCTTGATAAAGCCATTTTAATGACTTCCTAAAAAAAAAAACAACCCACAATCTTGCACAAAAGTAAACACACAAACACACACACACACACACACACACACACACACATACACACACACACATCTGTAAGGACACTTACCATGCAACTGCCTCTTCCACCTTGAATAGATGCCAACTAGTTGACGATATTCATAGTCAGAGATAATTATTTCTTTTTCTTTTTAATTATTAATTTTACCTATTTGTTTGTTTCTTTTTATGTGCCAATCCCAGTTTCCACTCCCTCCTCTTAAAGATAATCATTTCAAAACTACTTATGATACTTTATCTCACCTTTAAAAATCTTTATCCTTCCTTGTCTCTCTGGGTGTGGCTATAATTTATTATAACATGAGTAGTCTGGATTTTAATCTCTGGCTTATTCTTTCGAGACCGGGTCTCTTGATATAGTCCTGGTTGACCTGGAGCTCCCTATTTAGACCAGTCTAGTCTCAAACTCACAGAGAGAGAGCCACCTGCCTCTGCCTCTCTGATGTTTGAATTAGAGGCCTGCACTGTCACGCTCAGTCTTCCCCTACTTATTTTTAAGTATATTCCTTGGCGAGCTACTTTCTGGATATTATTTCAAGCTGACACACTTATTCTGCCTTGATCTTGAAACATTTTACCCAGGGCATAGTTTGTGAGACTCAATGGGAAAAATAAATGCAGAGTACCTCACTTATTAGATTATGAATTTCAAGATAACAACAGCAGAGCATGAAACTAATCATGGACTCTTTGGAGCATGAAGCCCATGCAGTTACACAGTTACTAAATGATTCTGAAATGCTAATTGAGCTTTAATACACACTTGGACTAAGGATAGTCTGTACGTTTGAAAACTAGTTATGCATCAATCCAGTGTGCAATGTGATTGCTGGTGATCTCTCTCTCTCTCTCTCTCTCTCTTCCCTCTGTGTGTGTGTGTATGTGTGTGTGTGTGTGTGTGTATGTGTGGGTAAGAAATGCTATGGAGTCTGTGTCTGGGTACTTCTGACTGATGTTCACCAACCTTAGAGAGGCCTCTATATTGCAATTAAGTTTGTCTCTGAGAAACAGAGCTACACACACAGCCTGCAGTCATTTAGCATAGAGCTTTTGTTGTTGTTAATAAGTTTTCTGTATCTTCATAGTAGGCTTCTCTTCCAATGCAGTAAGCCAGTTCAAGCCAAAACTGAAAAAGAACAGGTTTATTTGAGCAAAGCAACTCCCGGGTGAGTCCTCCAGCCCCAGAAATCGGGCTGGAACTAAAGAAGGGAACTTAAATACCCTATAGGTGAGGGGTGATGGCATGTCCTCCATAAGCTGTGTTTGTGCCCAAGTATGGTATGCTTTCGATGGGGACTTGGGTCGCTGGCAACTTCAGGGGAGGAGCCACCACAGCCACCAAGAATGCAGACTGGGGCTTTTTGATGCCTTTTCTTTGTTAGAGATTTTCTGAGAGGGTGGGGTTTGGAGAGAGAAAATGGGGCTTTCTGGATTCAGCAGGAGTGAGCTGGAGCTTCCAGCTCAACAGTTGTCATTTTCTGAAGTCTGCTGAGGAGACTAGAGAAGACTGAGTAGGATGAGGGTAGGGATGGTGGGGTAAGGGTAAATGAAGAACAAGAAATAAAGGAGGCTTATAGGAATTCCCTCTTGTGGAATTTTGTTTTTTGACCCTTCTCTCTCTTCCTATCGGGTTTGGCACCAGATGAATGAAAAGCAGAAATGAAAGAACTGCTCCTAAGGGGTTGAGGTTTTTAATTATAGATAAAAGGGAGAGCACGGGCAGGGACAGAGGCATCTGGAAGAGTCCAGACTGAACTTGCCCAGAAGACTGAACCAGGCCCTATGAGGAGAGGGGTAAGGGGAGAGGGGAAAAGAAAAGAGAGGAACCTGAGGCCAAGAGACCAGGAAGGAACCAGGAGGCCAGGAGACCAAGAGGGTAAGAGACCAGCACAGCAAAAATGACTGGGTTATATAGGGAAGTGGAGCTGGGGGAAGGCCAGTGAAGCTCCCGGACTGAAGAGGTTGCAGAGAGGGGCCAGGGTATGCCAGCCAGGATGTCTTTCTCCATAACAGGCATTGACAATGCTGAGAGGCTAGCAGACAATGTCTGCTTTATATGTTAATAGGCACCTCAGCCAGTGTGTCCCAGGTTTGGGACTGTATATGTGTGTGTGCGTGTGCGTGCGTGTGCGTGTGTGGTGTGTGTGTGTGTGTGTGTGTAAAACAGAGAACATGTGACAGGCTAGGAGGAAGTTCCAAAAGTGAAGTGCTGGTAAACATGCAGCCACAAGGGGGCGTTCATTTACTTTCAATAACAAATTAAAACACTCAGGAAAAATGCGATTATTATATACCTAGCATATCCAAAGTTTTTTGACTTCATTATGAAACTCTTACAGAGTTGAGGCTATAACACAATGGCAGATCATTACCCAGCGTGTCTGAGGCCCTCAACAGTACAGAGGAGGAGGAGGAGGAGAAAGAAGAAAAGAATCAGTAGTGGTGGCACGTGCCTGTGATCACAACACTTAGGAAGTGGAAGTAGGAGAATCAGGAGACTCTGTCTCACAAGAACAACAATGACAAAAGCAATGTGACCCAAAGGGGACAAACCCTTAACTATAGAGAAATGGATAGGTGATAAGCAAGTATAGCGGAGACGTAATGACAGAGTGTGTGTGTGTGTGTGTGTGTGTGTGTGTGTGTGTGTGTGTGTGTGTAGGTGAGACTGTACAGGTGTGTGCAGGAGTAGGATCCCCTGGGAGCTGTAGTTATAGGTGGTTGGGAACCTTGCAGTGTGGGTGCTGAGAATAAACTCAGGTCCTCTGAGAAAGCAGTATGTGCTCTTAGCCACTGAGATCCCTCCAGCCCTAATTCAGTTTACAAAAAGATCTGGACAGTAGGTATAAAAGAGTTTACTCTTAGCCAGTTGATGGCGGCGCACAACTTTACAAGTTCCAGGCTAGCCTGGTCTACAGAGTGAGTTTCAGGACAGCCAAGGCCATGCAGAGAAACTGTGTCTCAGAAAATTTTAATTGTGTATTTTTTATATGTGTTTTGAGACAGTCTCACTATGTAGCCCTGGCTGGCTTGAACTGAAACTCTCCATGTAGACCAGGCTGGCCTTAAACTCCTGGAGATCCGCCTGCCTCTGCTTCCCAAGTCCTGGAATTAAAGGCATGTGCCACCACAGCTGGCTATCACATCCGGTTTTTCAGAGTCTGGGCTTGAACCAGGGCTCAGTGCATGCCACACAATCATTCCGCTAACTGAGCTGCATCCCAGGGTCCACCCCCAACCTCCTCGCAGTACATACAATCAGGTCCGGAACTTGCCATCATTCTACCTCAGCCTGGTGAGTGCTTGGATAACATGACATTACAACCAACTTCTAGGTGTTTTTTGTTGTTGTTGTTGTTGTTTTGTTAATATATTATTATATAAAAATTTAAATACATAGTCAAGCTGGGTATAATAACACACACATTTAATCCCAGCACCCAAGACTCTGTCTCAAAAGCAAAGCAAAGCAAAATAAAACAAAAGAACCAAGCGTGGTGGTGCATGCTAATAATCCC